GCGCGCGAGGGCGCGGACAGCGGCACGCGAGAGGCAAACATGCGTTGGTGAACTTCTGTGGGCTGTCCTCGAAGCACAGCGCAGCATGGCTGAGCTGCAGCCCGAGCCGCCTCGGGGGGCGATTTGGATAAACGACAACGTGCTCGACACCTGCGTCCGCAAGGACGGGTTGGAGCTGTTCGTCGCGCAGCAGCGGGCGCGCACGGACTACGTCGAGGCGATCGCGAAAATCCCATACATGCTCTTGGACATCGACCACCTGCGACTTGTTGAGGACGCTCAGGCGAAGCTCGAGGTCCTGATGAAGGCCGGTGATTGGACGTCATCGACCCGTTCGTGGATCACTTCCCGGCGCGCGAAACTGAAGAAGGTGGCGGACACGTGCGCGGCGGTCCCCAAGATCAAAAAAGTGCTGCGCGTCGCGAAACAACTCGGCACGCAGGACGCGGCGCCCGTCGACGTCGTCGCGCCCGCGCGCCCGCTGCTGAGCCCGGTGGGCCGGGTCAAGGACCGCGCCGGCGTTGTCTACGACGCGGTCCCGACGCTCTGGACGTTGCGGCGCAAGACCGCCGCGGGCTTCGAGGAGACGAGCAGCGCGGAATACGATCCCGACACTCTGGTGCCGATACCCGCCGCGGCGCCCGTGGTGGCGCCCGTGCCGGCGCCCGTGGTGGCGCCCATGGTGACGCCGGGGCGTGAGGCGTCCGTGATGGACGACGACGACGACGACGACGAGTGGGCGCGGGCGCAAGAGGGCAGCGGGCCGCGTGAGTTGGAGCCGCGAGAGTGGCTCGGGGCGCAAGTCCAGCGAAGGCTGGTCATGCGGATGACAAAAATGGCTCGAGAGAAAAAAAAAGCGTGTGTCCTCTTCGAGACGGTCGCGCGCGCATGCACGCCGTCGGGGATCGGAGACGCCTTCGAAGCCGCGGGCCTGGACCGTCCCGAGGCCTTGCTCGTCGCGGCATCGAGCGGGACTTTCTCGAAGTCGCGCGAGGTTTTTGAAATGGACGAGCGAGCACCGACGCTCACGCAACACTCGCTGCGATTGCGAGACTCGTGTAGCCGTCCGCGGTCTGGAGCGCGAACGTCATGAAGGACGTGTCGACGGCGGACGACGTCGCCAGCGCTCACTAGACGGCGGCGCGGGCCGCGCGGGCCGCGAGGCGGGCGTCCCGCGCCAAGTCTGCCTCGCTCCGGACCGCGGCGATCCTCGGTTCCTGCCTCCGCGAGAAGAACGCGAGGGAGAAGCGCTTCGGGGGCGGACCCGGCACGCCGGCGGGCACGAGGGGGAGGACGCTGTGGAAGGCGAACTCGCCGCACAAAAGGACGACGTCGCCGGGCTGGTAGTCGACGACAAAGGCACAGTCGAGGATGAGGAGTTCCCCCCCGCAGTAGGTGACGTCGGGCGTGCCGCTCTCGTTGACGAGCGCTGCGAAGATCGTGTCGCGCTTGTCGAGATGGGCGGCGAGGTCGCCCAGGAGCTGGGACGCGACACGTTCGTAGAAGACCAGCTCGTCGTCAAGCCGCCAGGACTCGTCGGGCTGCAGCAGCGGAACAAGCTCGCGCGCTAGCGCGTCGACCTCGAGGCGCAGTTGTTGGATGTCGGCATCGCCGTCGGAAAGTTTGTCGAACTGCACCGCCGTGTGATACAGGCGATCGCGCCAGGCCGTCCCGAGCATGAAGCTGCCGCCGCCCGTCTGCTCGTTGTCCCAGAAGAGGCGTGGCGTCTCCTTCGAGAAGTCAATTTGCGTCGGCGTCGAGTTTGACCCGCACTTGCTGATCCTCACGCCAACCCGTGAGTTGTAGACGAGATTGGCCAGGTCGACTCGACCCGCGCCGGCGCCACAAAACGCACCGACGCCGCCGCGTCTGCCAAACACGTGCGCTGCGCGCATCTTCTTGACGCCGATGCACGCTTGTTCCGATAGGACGCCTCGGAGGTGGGCGAGTACAGGGCCACTCACGCCTCGCAGCACATAAGACCCTCGGTTGTGTCGGCGCCTTTTTATCACCTTCCTGGCCCATGGTCGCCTCGGCAGCGTGCCATCGAAGACGGCGCGCACGTCGTCCGGCGGCGCGTCTCCGACATGCACGTCATCCAGCACCCTGCCGCTCGTCAACGTAAACTCGGCTTCACGGACGCGCAGCCCCACATCACCCATGCCCTTGATCCAATGGTCGCCTTGCCGCCGTCGACGCTGCAGCAGCTGGCGCCGCCGCCGACGCTGATGCCGTGGAGCGCCGACCGCGCACTGCAGCCGCTGCCCATGACCGGCGCCTTGGACGACATCGTCCTGCTCCCGCTCATCATCCTCAAGGAGCCCCTGTGCCGGCGGTTCTTCCTGAACCACATCGGCGCGGCGCTCGCCGAGCCCGGCGTCGCGCCCGGGGCCGCCGCGGCCGCGGTCCGCGAGGCGCTCGCGGCGACGTGCGACTCGCTGGACGCCGCCGCCTTGAACCGCATCAAGGAGCTGCAGGTCGGCTGCACGACGACGGTGCACGGCCCGAAGATGGCGATGAAGTTCTTCGGCAAGGGAAACGACCTCCTCAATATCGTCTCCGCCCTCGGCGGCCGGAGCTTCGCCGCCATCGCGCGCCTCGGCGCGAAAGTCGACGCCGCGGTCGCGTCCAAGGTCTTCGCCGACCTGGAGTCGGTGCTGGAGACCGGGCCGCCGAGGGTGGGCCTGCTGGGCCCCTACAACCGCCCGTGGGTGGTCACGCGCGCCGCCGCCTTCCTCGGCCTCCGCTGCCCGGCGCGGGCGTCGACGACGTGGCACGAGGCGACGTGCGGCGTGCTCGGCTACGTCGCCGACCCCCGCATCAAGAAGCTCAAGGCCAGCGGCGTGACGCCCCTGGACGTCCTCACGGAGGCGGTGTGCGGCCAGGAGGACGTTTGGTTCCTGTCCATGGCCATGTGCCTCGCGAGCTCGAATTCCCAGAAGGCGGACGTCGCGACGCAGATGATCCTGCCCAGGCGGGCGTCCTAGTGATAAAAGCCTCGCCCCGATTTACAGCGGCCGGCCTCTCGTCCGGGTCCTTCACTAGACGGCGGCGCGGGCCGCGCGGGCCGCGAGGCGGGCGTCCCGCGCCAAGTCTGCCTCGCTCCGGACCGCGGCGATCCTCGGTTCCTGCCTCCGCGAGAAGAATGCGAGGGAGAAGCGCTTCGGGGGCGGACCCGGCACGCCGGCGGGCACGAGGGGGAGGACGCTGTGGAAGGCGAACTCGCCGCACAAAAGGACGACGTCGCCGGGCTGGTATCCGCGGTCGTGAACTCGATCATGTAGGCCTTGCCGCTGAGCTTCTTCGTCTCCGCCTTCGCGCCGTCCTCCGAGTCCTCGAGCTCGCGCCAGAGCAGCGCCTTGGCGTCCGTGATGAAGCACGTGATGTCCTCGGACACGCCCCAGGCCGCGCGCATCAAGACCACGGTCTTCTGCATGGTCTGCAGGATCTCCTGCGACGTGTTGATCTTCTCCGGGAACTCGAAGACCACGCAGAGGTGCGCGTTCTTCTCGAAGATCTTCGTCTCCTCGACGAACACCTTCTCGTTCGTGTCGAGCATCTTGAGCGCGTCGTCGTGGCCCACCTCCATGGAGAAGACGTTGGACCCGCGGAAGGACTCGTCGAGGTCCTTGATCTTCTGCTCGTACTCCTCGATCCAGCCGATGGTCTTGTTCTCGAAGTGGGTCGTCGTCGGCGTGATCGCCGCCGTGGGCTCCACGAGGGCCAGCACCTCCGTCCAGTTGATGACGGCCTTGCCGAGCTGGTCCATCATGCGGTCGACCTGGTTGCCCCGGCTCTTCAGGTGCGCGGGCGCGACGCGCGTCGCGTCGATGTTCTCGAAGTGGGTCGTCGTCGGCGTGATCGCCGCCGTGGGCTCCACGAGGGCCAGCACCTCCGTCCAGTTGATGACGGCCTTGCCGAGCTGGTCCATCATGCGGTCGACCTGGTTGCCCCGGCTCTTCAGGTGCGCGGGCGCGACGCGCGTCGCGTCGATGCAGAGCGCGTGCTGCTCCGACATCTTCTCGATGTCGCGCAGGTGCTCCTTGCCCACGGAGCCGGAGACGACGCGGCGGCCGCCGAGCAGCGGGGCAGCCTCTCGAAGCAACAATGTCATCGTCGACTTCTCTCTCGCTGGAGGAGCGAGAGAGAGGTCCATGGTGCAGGGGTCAAAGTCGTGCCGCCGAGTCGCCGACTCGATTCAGGCTTCCTTGTTGCGCCTCCCGCCGCGCTCGCCGACGGCCACTTCCAACATGATCGTCGACCTCTGCAGCTCGAGCGACGACGACGAGGCCGCCGACGCCGAAAATTCGCATGTAGCAGCCATCGACCTCTGCAGCGACTCCGAGGAGGAGCCCTTCTTTAAAGCGAACGACGCCGCCATGTTTGCCCCGGGCGGGCCCACAGGACCGACGCGCGACGACCGGAACCCCAAGCGCCAGCGCCGCGGCGAGTCCTCGGATGGACCGAACCCCCGCGCGGCCGCGTCGCGGGCCGCGGGAGATCTGCAGGAGCCCGCGCCCACGGATCATGGTGACGTCCGGCTTCTTTCGGACATCCTGTCCGGCGCCCCCCCCGGAGACTCGATCATCCGCTCGTCCGTCCCGGCAGAGGGGGTGAGCGCCTTCAAGATTCCGTTCCGTGACGCGCTCCTCGCGCTTCTTCCAATCTTCATATCTGCGCTGGCCCCGCTTCGCGCCGCGATCATGGGCGAGGAGGACCTCGCGAGCCTTTCGTTCGGCGGCCTCCCAAAGCCATGCCCCGAAAAAAATTTCGGGGTCATGGCCGTGGCTATGGCCGCGTTGGCGCGGAAGATGGGCTGGACTTCCATGAAGTTCCACGTCACATCTGCCGCGGCGCACCTGGCGCGCGCCAGTGTCCTCGATTTTACACGGGCAACACGATGACCCTCGCAGGTGCTCAAGTACACGGTCGCCAGCCGCGGCCTGGGCCACGCCATGTGGAGCTGCGACTACCACACCATGGGCGCGGCCCTCATCCGCCTCTTCAAGATGCTCCGCCCTTCCCGTCTCCGCGGGCCCGCGCCCGACCCCTCCACGTTCCTTACCCTCTCCAAGGACATCATCGGCCAGACGAACATGTGCATCAAAAACCTCGACGACGTCGCCGTCGAGTTGATGCACTGGAGCCAGTACAAGATCTACTCGCTCCTTCCCCCCAGCATCCTCCGCGCGGTCCTCAACAACTGGCCGAAGAACGGCGGCAACAAGTTCAACAGGCTCTTCCCGGCCTTGGGCCCCGAAGAACGCAAGGCGATCAAGGCCGCACTCAACCTTTAGGATTAGGAGTAAGTCGATTTCCTAACTAGTCTAGCCCTGGAGGCGGTCGATCCGCGGCGAGCCCGCGGAGAAGCTCGAGGACCTCCGCGGCGAACAGGAGGTCGAGCGCACGCAGCGCCTCGACGCGTCGGCGCTGCAGCTCGCGGCACAGACGCGCCTCGCCGTCGAGGAGGCCGAGCTCCGCGAGGACCGCGAGCGGCGGGAGGACCGCGAGCGCCGCGAGCGCCGCGGACGCCGCGCGGAGCCGCCTCGAGGACGGCAAGAAGCAGGCCCTCGAGTCGCTCGCGTCGGCCCACGCGGGTGCCCTCGCGGCCATCGCGTCGGACCACGAGGCCGCGCTCGCGCAAGACGTGAGGCGCGAGGGCCTCGCGGCGGCCGACGACGTCGCCGGGGCGTGGCGCGCGGGCGCGGAGGGCCTCGCGGCGCGGCTCGAGCTCCGGGCGGCCAAGCTTGATGACGTGGCGAACCGCGAGGCCGACCGGCGCCGCGACGGGTCGCGCGCGTCGCCGCGTCAGGCCTCCGTCGCGCGCGACTGCGACGCGGTTGAGCGCGATCTGGCCGAGCGCAGCCCCGAGGCCGCGCGGGGCGACGAGGCACCGCGCGAGGTCGATCGCCGAGCGGTGCTCCTCGAGGAGCGGTCCGCGCTCGAGGCCGCGCTCGAGGCCGGGAGCGCCGCGCGACGCAGAGTCCCGCGCGAGCGGCGCGCGACGCGGCGCTCGCCGACGCCCCGGACCGCGAGCGGCTCGCCGCAGCTCAACGCGGCGACGGTCCAGATCAACAAGCTCGAGCGCGAGAAGAAGTTCCTCCGGGCGAGCCGCGACTCGCCGGGCGGCCCCGGCGACCGGTCGAACAAGACGCTCGAGGCCGTGTTCGAGAAGCTCAGCAAGGAGTCCGAGACCCGAGCCGGAAATTCAACGGCAAGGCCGCCGAGGAGGCCGCCGCCGCGGGCCTCGCGGACCACGACCAGCTCCGGCGGCACCGAAAGCTGCGGAGAGGAGCTTTTCGAGGCGAGAGCTGAGCATGCCCAGCAGGTCAAAGCAGTCGATGTTGCCGAGGAGCTGCGGAGATCAGCGATCAGCGACGATCTGCGACGACTGCTCGCTCGCGTCTAGAGCCATGACGACGAGCGGCGAGGACGAGTTCATGAAGGCTCTTTTCGAGACCGATCTTCGCACAGAAGATGATTATCTCCTCGACCTCGTCGGCGACTCCCTGGATGAGCTAGTCACTCCTAAGATAACAGCGAAGATTGGTCGAGTGCGACCCGAGGCGTCCCTCGCGTTCACCATCCTCGCCGACGGCCTCGAAGGGGACGCGAAGAACGCGGTAATCGCATACTTCTGCGCGCGGACGCAGATGGACTGGCCGTCCATCGTCAAGATGGCGCCGTGCCCGCTGACGGGCGAGGCGCTGCTCAAGAAGGAGCTCCTGTGTATTATAATAGCGAACGGCATCCCCTCCGCCAAGGTCGACGCGGAGCTTCGGCGCCGCGCGCTCCACGCCATGGCGCGGGGCGACGACCGCGGGTCGATCGCCCAGGCGATCGTCGCGCGCGTTGGGAACTACGGGTCCTGGCCCACCGCTCTTCCCGCGGTCCCCCCCGCGGACGTCGACGGCGACGTGGACGAGGACTACGAGTTCCTCAACGAGCTGCTGCGCGACGCCGGCGTGTCCGACGCCGAGGGCCTCTTCTTCGAGGAGGCGGATGAAGCCCCCGTCGTGGCCTTCGCGGAGCAGCTGAAGACGGAGACGGCGCGCCGCGTGCCCAAGCACGCGGCCGCGATCCAGGCGGTGCCCATCCGCATCCCGTTTGGGCGGGCCGGCGGGCGCGCCGGCCGCGTCCTCCACGCGCGCGCGCCGCCGCGCCGCGCGACCGGGACCCCCGCGCGCAGGCTCGCGCTCGCCAAGAAGGGCTTCGAGAAGGCCGCGGCCGAGGGCCGCGCGGCGACGCGCGAGGACTTCAACCTCAAGACGACCACGGAGGACTGCCGCAACGGCGGGCGCGCCGCCCGCGTCCTCCACGCGCGCCGCGCCGCGCCGCGCGACCGGGACCCGCGCCGCGCGCCGCGCGACCGCACCACCACGCGACGTGCACCGCCCGCGCAGGCTCTCGGCCTTCGCGCAGGGCAAGGGCATCTTTGCGCCCGGCAAGGGCCACGTCCTCACGGACGAGGACTCCCGCGAGGGCGGGCGCGCCGCCCGCGTCCTCCGCCCGCCGCGCCGCGCCGCGCGACCGGGTCCGGCACCGCGCGCCGCGCGACCGCGCGCGCACCACGCGACGTGCACCGCCCGCGCAGGCTCTCGAAAGGCCTTCGCGCAGGGCAAGGGCATCTTTGCGCCCGGCAAGGGCCACGTCCTCACGGACGAGGACTCCCGCGAGGGCGGGCGCGCCGCCCGCGTCCTCCGCCCGCCGCGCCGCGCCGCGCGACCGGGTCCGGCACCGCGCGCCGCGCGACCGCGCGCGCACCACGCGACGTGCACCGCCCGCGCAGGCTCTCGGCCCTCGCGCAGGGCAAGGGCATCCACGCGCCCGAGCACTCGCGCGCGAAGCGCGACGCGTCCGGCGAGCCGCTCGTCCCCGCGGAGACGCGCGAGAAGAACCGCCTGGAGGGCGTCGCGCACCGCGTGGCCGACAAGATCCTAAAGGAGCCCAAGATGGCCGCGCGAATTGAAAAGTTCGACGCCATCTCCGCCGAGGTCGCGTCGAAACTGCCGAACCAGCCCGTCGAGGTCCTCGAGAAGGTGTCCGCGGACGCCCGGCGCCTCGCGCTGAACAGGCCCGAGGCCGCGAAAGGCGGCCTTGGCGTGGCCTCCCTCGAGCTCGCCAAGGCGATCGCGGAGAAGATGAAGAAGGCCCTCGCCGACATCCGCCCCGTGGACGCGCCGAAGCCCAAGCGCCGGAACCACCACGCGCAGTCCCACCTCCTCAAGGACGCCGACGGCCAGTTCCCCTGCGGCCGCGGCTGCGGCCGGACCTTCACGCACGCGCCCGCGGCCGCCCAGCACACCAAGGCCTGCAAGCACGGCGCGCCCGTCCAGGCCGCGGACTGCCCGGCGAAGCGCTAGGCCGCCGCGCCCGCGCCCGCGACGCCGGGCCTCGTGGCGTCGGCCTTCGGCGCGACGGTGTCGCCGCCGCCGCCGACGTTCCTGTACGCCACGCCCGATGGCTGCTGAGACATCTACGGCGACGCCTGGGGGCTGATCCCCCTGCCCCACTAACCCGACTGCCCCACTTACGACTTAGAACTTCACTTCCGTCTTCAAGTCACCACCTCGCGATCGGCTTCCCGCGCCTGGAGGGACTCGTCCGGCGCAGGGACTCGGCCCCCGGACGGCACGTTCGGCAACCTCGAACGAGGGCGCGGCCATCGGACGCGCCGCGCGCGGCCAGGGGTAGTTCCATGTACCGCCTCGCCTCGCCCATCTCCCGGTGTTCCTTCGAACCGGCGCTACCGTCGCGGCTGCGTCGCGGGCGCGTAGCGGTGGCGCGCGAGCCAGCGGCGGTCCGCGCGGTCCTCGACGTGCCGGAGCGCGGCGTCCGTGAGGCACGTGCGCCAGGAGCCCGTCGCGCCGTCGGCGGAGATGTGGTGGCCGTGGATCTGCGACGCGGCGTCGACCTTGCCGAAGACGCGGAGCCTGGCCGCGAGGGCGCCGTTCGCCTCGAGGGAGCTCCGCGCCGCGAGCGTCTCCGCGAAGCCCAGGGGCAGGTCCGCCTCGACGCCGAGCCAGGACGCGAAGAGCGCCGCGAGCGCCGCGGGGCAGTCCGCGAAGTCCTCGTAGCGGAGCAGGAGCGCGCCGGCGTCGCGGAACGCGTCGAGGCGCTTCGCCTGGTAGGGGAACATGCGCGCCGCGACGCCGCGGGCGCGGGGCTCGAGCTCCGCCGCCGAGCACCGCGCGCACGACGCGCTCCGGCCGGGCACGCCGCGGCGCCGCGCGTGGGAGCAGACGACGTCGCGCGGGTCCCGGTACGTGAGCGCGGCGCACGCCGGGTCGCGGTCGCCGGGAGCCGACTTGTGGTGCTTGGCGACGGTGACGCCGCGGGGCGCGCTCTCGTTGGCGAGGGCGACGACGCCGGCCAGCAGCTGGTAGGCGAGCGTCGACCCCGAGGCCTCCATGCCGGCGAGGTCCAGGGACCCGCAGGCCGACGCGGCTCCCGGCGTCGCCGGCTCGAGAGCGCAGCGCCACTCCGACGACGCGGCGGCCCACGCCGCGACGAGCGCGGGACGCAGCAGCCCGACCATTGCCGCGCCTTGCACTGAACTTGCAGTGCAACATTTGTCGTCACCCGAGGCGCCGGCCCTCTCCCGAGGACGGGATGGTGACGCGGGCACCGAGGCGACCTGCCCCGTCGACGCCCCCGTCGACGCGGCGCCCGCCGTCGTCGCGACCCACTTATCCGCGATCCGCGGCCGGCGCCGCGCGGCGCCGCGGCCTCACCGTGCCTTCGCCGCCTTCTTCTTCTTCTTCTTCTTCGGGGCCTCGGGCCCGCAGGGCTGGCCGACGCCGTCGCAGACGACGGACCGGAGCTCGGTCCCCGCGTTGAGGTGGTCGAGGAGGTCGAGCTCGTCGTGCTCGAAGGCGTGGTGCTGGCACGCGCCTGCGGGGAATTCGGCCGACCTCGAAACAAGGCTCGAGCTCGGTCGCATCGATCGTCGTCGGACGCGTGCCCCGCTCTCGCGGAGCGCTCCGCGGAACGCGCGACGACCGGCGTCGAAACCGTCGCGCGCGCTCGCGTCGAAGCCGGGTCGGAGGTTCGTATGCCGCGCGGGCGCGCGCCGACGAGGCGGCTGCCCGTCGCGTGCGAGTGCTGCGCGCGGATCTCGACGTCCGCGGCGGCGATCTCGTTGGCCTGGACGATGCCCGGCCCGACGAGCACGTTCGTGCCGTCGAGGCCCGGCTCGAGGCCGTACGCGTCGGTCCAGAGCGTCGCGTTCGCGCACCTGGCGCGGCCGCGGTCGGTCGGGCGCGCGCCCCGCGGCGGTCGGCGGGCCGCGCGGTCGCGCGGTCGAGGCGCCGGGGCCGCGCAGCGCGGCGAGCGCGTCGAGGAGGCAGCCGCTGAGGGGCTCGCCGTCCGTGGGCTTGGCGGCCGTGGCCCGGATCGTGGCGCCGAGCTGGTGCGCGACCCCCAGGCAGGCGGCGCAGGCCATGTGCTCGGGCAGGCTGGAAGACTGGACCTCCTCCTCGCTGAGCCGGGGCTGGACGACGTCGACGAGCCGCTCCGCGCCGGCCGCGTCGCGCGCGCGGATGGTGGCCCTGCCCCCGGCGGCGCCGTAGATCTCCTGGCCGTCCTCGACGCGCTTCATCTCCCGCAGCATCTCCTGGAAGGACTCGACGTCGTCGCCGAGCACCGTCGCCGCCATGTGCGGCGCGTCGCGCCGCATCGCCGCCATGCGGTCCTCGTCCTTGAGCCAGAGCTTGCGGTAGAGGCGCGGGTGCGTCGCGGACCCGTCGGGCTCGCGGAGGAGCGCCTTGGCCCGCGCCGCGTCCTCGCGCGCGCGCGCGCGGTGCTGCTTTCGGAGCATCTCTTGGAACTCGTTCGTCGAGCCGCGCTCGACGACGGAGCGCCACGCGGGCTTCTCGCGGCCGAGGGACGCCAGGGCCTTGCGGTCCTTCATCAGCGCCTTGCGGTAGGCCCGCGGGTCCAGGGCCGCCCCGTCGGGGCCGAGCGCGTAGGGGTCGGCCTCTCCGCCGCCGGCCCCGGCGCCCGCGAGGGCGGACCGCGCGGACTTGATCGCCGGGAACCGGGCCTCGAGGTCGTCGCCGAAGCGCACGTAGGCGAGCTGGCCGACCATGGCGACGACCATGACGCCGAAGCTCATCTTCTTGACGCGGTCCATGCTCGTAACCGAACCCGGGCGCTGTGGTGCCGCGAGCCTGCTGCCGCTACGAGGGGCTGCCGGGGCTGCCTTCGTTAGTACCAGTAAAGGACCCGCTCCGGGGCCCCGCAGCGGCCCCTGCAGCGGCCGGGCGAGTCGTAGCAGACGATGGCCGCGGCAGAATTGTCCGGTAATGGCCAGGCGAACCGGCCGTCCGGGGCATGATCGTGGGGCGTCCGGACGGGGTGATGATCGTGGCGTCCGGACGGCGTGGATGAGTGGAGAGAGCCCCGCAGTGTGGCGATCAGTGATTAGAGGCTATCGTGAACCACAGCATGGCTTCAGCTCAGGGGATCTCCGAGCTGATGTCGGCCGAAAACCGCGCGTCCCAGATCGTCGCCGAAGCGCGCGCAGGTGCGTCGCTCCGCGCGCGCGCGGCGCCCGGGGGCGATCCCTTCCATCGGCCGCCCCGCGCAGCGCGCGGCGAGCGCATGAAGGAGGCGAAGCGCGAGGCCGAGGCGGTCATCGGCAAGGTCCGCGCGGAGAAGGAGGCGGCCTTCCAGTCGTCGAGCAACGAGGCGCGCGGCCCGCGCCGCCGCCGCCGCGCGCGCGCGCGCGCGACGGGGGCGCGCGCGCGCACGGCCGCGCCCCGCAGACGCAGAACCAGGACGAGTTCTCCGACATGAAGAAGGTCACGGACGCGGAGATCGCGGAGATGCAGCCGGTGCCCGCGCCCGGCGGCGCGCGCGGCGCGCGCGGGACCCCGCGCGTCCCCCCGCAGGCGCCTCTTCGAGACGAACAAGGGCTCGGTGACGGACATGATCGTCAAGGTCGTCACGGACGTGAGCCTGGACCTCTCCGAGACGCGCAAGCTCGCCGGCCAACGGGCCAGCGGCCAGGTGTGAGCGGGCGCCGGCGCCGGCGCGCGCCGCGGCGACGCCCGGGAGGACGCGCTCGCGTAAGCATCCCGACGTGTCCCGCGGCCAT